TAAGTACAGAAAGTCAGCCAAGCACTAAAAAAAAAAAAAATCAAAAAAATGAAAAAAAAAACAAACCAGAAAAATCAGTTGCAGTTATTTTGGGGATGGTACTTTGTTTTTTATGTACTCCATTGTTGTATTTATAGATTCAAAAGAAATTACATCTTATCTTCAAATGTAATTAACAGAGGGGACATGGAAAATGGGATTTTCAGAGCAGCCCAAGGAAACTAAGGACCCGGTTCTTAGTAGGCATATTAGTAAAATAATATGCCTAGTGTCCTTTGGACACACCAGTGTCAAGCACCCATATGGGGCATTCTGTTACGTGATGCGGGTTTGTTACAAGCGAGTCAGAAGTCCTGATGAGAAGAGGATTTGCAATATGAAGACGTTTAATAGTGTAATGAAATATTTCATATCAAGTTTTTTTTGTTATGAAAAAGAACGTGCTTTCTAGTTTGTGCAGGGGGTGGGTTGTTTGAATTGGGGTTTTATGTTTTGTTTGCTGTTTTTTTTTCTTTTTTCCTGGATGGCATTATGGGCCAAATGCTCAATCTTTTTATTTCAAAGGCAAAGTTTGATTTAAGTGAGACCAGAATGTGTGGGTGTGTGCTAAGTCAGATATTTTTAAATGCATTCCACTAGAGATTGCGGAATTAAAAACACATTCATAAATAGTTGTTATTTCTTTGAAGTCAGATCACTTTTCTGTCTATGGGTCTATTTATGGTTTCAGGATAAGAAATTCTGATGCATAGTAGGAGGAACTGATGAGTAAAACTTTCACATAGAAGAAAAACATGAGTTGTAATTTTCTGTTTCTTCAACATAAAGAAAATACGTGAGTCCTGTAGCTGGGATATAAAATTAATCTTGCTTATTTAGGAGGACCTTAATCACACACTTTCAGTTTTACACTTGAACTGTGGTATCTGCAGTACCCAAAAGAGTCAATTCTCACAGAATGTTTTTTCATTTGGTTTTGTCTTCTTGTTAAAATATTTCTTTGATTTTGCCAATGACCAATATTAGATCTTAATGGTATTTACTTATTGTTTTTATTCTGTGGCTATATTAAGAGCAGGAACACAAACAGTTTATTTTGAATCCTGAAGTGTTCACTTTTTTTGCTGCTGGAGTCCAGTTCCATACAATATTAGCAATCAGCTTCTATGCCAAAGCCAAGCAGTGACAGTTGCAATAATGAATATTTGCTGCAGGCCACTGGTATGAAAATAGCACAGTGCTGCAAGCCTGCGTCACCAGAAACAAATCTTCCCTTTGACTGTGACTGAATTCCCAGCTTGATTTTAGATCATTTATTATTGAAATAGTTCTTAAAGCACTGTCATAATATAATGTTGAAAAATGCTGATTCAGTCTTCAAGGCATCTATTCAAATGCCTTCCTATTCCTTTTTGGTGGTTTTGTTGTTGATTTGGTTTATGGGTTGTGGTTTTTTTAATCCTTTATACCTTTAATGCTGTGCCTGTATTTAGGACACTGAGATGTGTACAGGCAGCAATACTGTAGTGTACTCGAAGAGACTCATGCTGGTTCAGTTAGAAGTTCTGGTGAGAAGAGGATTTGAATTTCCTCTTTGTAGCTTAATTGACCGCTATTAGAATGTTTTCTTTTAATTCCTGCAGATAATTCTAAAGTTTATATGAGGAGAACCAGCTTTAAATCTGTGTGGTGGCTTTTATTTGATGAACTTGGGTGATTTTCTTGTTCATGTTTTGAGTCATTAATGCATTTGCATTAGTGGAATATATTTATGCAGGGCACCTTTTGAAAGTGCAGAATATATATACTGAACTTTGATTATTTTTTTAGTTGAAGAATATGAAGAGTTTAACATTTTTAGTTTAATTTCTATATACAATGCTGCTTTCATGCATGCATCTCAAAATACCTGCAAAAGGACTAAAAAAATAAATTGTATTTTCTTTTCACTTTAAAATAATTACATAGGGAAATAATAGATGACAGAGATAAAGGAGGTCAGATATTTGAAGCTGGATAAAATCTGCAGCTATTTAAGTTTTTGTTGATTTTCATTGCCTCAGGTTTTCCTTGCTTAAGGCAGAATACTGACCCTTGCACTGTAAAGCTGTTAAATGGTGATTTACATATGATGTACATATCTAATTTCCTGCAAGATTAGAATGAGCACCAAAGTTGCCATCAGTCCTGAGAGAATGTTAATGTCTTTCCTTCTCCCTGATGCCATCAACCCTCTGCCTTCCTTTTCACCAGAAAAGTACATTGGCTGAACCTACTACTCTATGGTAGAACCGAGATGGAGAAACTGAAGTTCTAAAACCAGTGTTATGTACTGCTGGGATTGGGATTTTGAGGAAAATAATTTCACTGTGGCAACTTTCAACTGAAAGAAAGCCAACACTGACTTTCAGATTCTTTGGGATGGGAAAGGAGTGACTAGTTAAATGTACAATTTTGTGGGCAGATCTACAAATGCTTCATTTACTTATCAGTTTCCCAACAAAAACCTTAATATTTCAAAACAGGTTGGGTTTTCTTGAAACATTATTGTTGGTCTGTAAAAATAATAAATAATAACAGAATGTTCAGCAAATAATACTACTGCTTCTGCACCAGTATTTGACATGGCCGGTACTTTCAGGATATAACCACCTCCAGACTCATTCTCAGGAAAAAAATGAGGTGTTAAGCAGGATCTTATTTTTGCTATATGCTTTAATGCCTGGAAGTATGTAGAATATTCACATGACAAACTCTGCTTTCTTGGTTTTATGAATAATAATTTTTAAAAAAACATTTGGGTTTTAAAACTTAAATGGGAAAATATGTACAAACACCACAAAATATAGAATGTATAGAAATTAATAGGTCTGGAAGGGTCAAATCCCCACTGACTGAAAGGGAATCATACCTGGGTCGGTTGCTCCCGCAGATATTTGGTCAGTCAGTTTCAAGTGCTCCAGTGGACAGTGTTTCCAGATCTCTGCAGGTAGGCTATTCTCAAGCTTTATTAGAACAAATTTCCTGATGTCTAATCTAAGGCTCTCTTGATGTAATCCCGTAGTCTGTGTCCTATTAGGAAGGATCAGGGAAAAGAGTTTATTTTCTTATTTTTAGCTACCTTCTACAGATCTAAAAAATGGTTTCAGTGTTTACCTTCGTCTTCCATATTCACAGTCCATGTTTTCTAAATGTCTAATTTGTTTTGGCTTCCTCTCCCTCTTATTGGTTTCCATTTATATTGCTGCTGGATTTACAACAAAGCAGGCAATTTTTCATTTTTGACTTTGTGGTCCGCAGACTGGACACAGGGCCTTTTAAGTGCTGATTAGGAGAGAAGAAAATCCTTCATATAATTTTCACTTCAGACTTCCAGTATGGGGGGGGGGACCTGTTTCGTAACGCGATGATATGAGAGATCTCTCTTCATTTTATTACCTGCTACGGAAAGCTTTTTCTCATAAACGAGCAAAGAAAACAACACAAAATCAAACAAACAAGTCCTCAAAAAGTAGTTTTGGGGCTGTTGTTCTTCATCTTGTTTTAATAGATCAGATTAATCCTACTGAGTGTGGACTCCTGCAGTTGTCTTTGCTGAAAAGTATCTAATTTTCTAGACTGTTTCTCAGAATTGTTTTGAATCATGTTTCTGTGTTTGTGGTTGCTCCCAGTTTGCTATTGTCTGCTAAGGTATTAGGTATGTTCTTCAGTAATGAAGTTGTTGAACAATCTGAAACACCTCTGCAGCATCAGTCAGTTGTGTCCCTCCTGCACCACAGCACATACTGAGATCTATCAGCAAAATATTTATTATTTTGCCTATTCTTACAAATTGTAGTGAATAAAGCACAGTACAGGTAGAGCACCACTAACACCAAGGGATGTATGAAAGAAAATTAGCTGTCTATGTTGTAACATACCCAATTCCAGGGATATCTCAGTTAAGTAACTGTGATTTCTTACAGAAGAAACTGCTACTCAGTAGGACTTAATATGACAAAATACAACAGTGCAAAGCTAGAACAGTTCCTGTCCTTACTCTCCTTTTCCTGTCCCTTACTTGCTGTCTTCTCCACTGCCTCATTGCTGTATTTTGCTATCCTCTATCCTGCTAAGTACTTAACTACCATATGAAACTGCCATATCCAAATTTCATCTATGCATTATTCAAACCACAATATCACTGTATTTTCTCTCTCTTGAATTTGAAAACTACAGAAAAAAGCGCAAGTTCTTAGGTGGAAGCACTAAGTTTGCAAATATAGGTTTAGGTTTATAATATGCTTACAATTTTTCCAAACATACCACTGATATGAAAAATGGAGATCTTATTGGTGTTTGTGTAAGTCTCAGATACAGAATTTTGCATATTTAATTACTATTAGTATTTATTGTTATTATGTAATGGGTAACAATAATGGATAAATGTATACTGTGTATTATTCATTACATGTCATTTTGTGTTAGTTTTGGCTAATATCAAGTGAAGCATCAATTTAACATTTTATTTTATCAGATATCAAGAACAGACAATTATTTTAATATTAGTTTTAGTCCAGAATGGTAAAACCTTAGCTTTGCTACTCATAGCGTAAGTATTATGTGGTACTATGGCAGTTTATGCATCTGAAGTGCCGCATATAAATTTTAACTAACCATTATAATGGTAAATTACACGACCTCGTCTAGCAGATTATCTTTCAGTTGCACAGTGCAGTTTTAATGACCTGTCTTTTCAATTTATGAATTCTGTATTTACTGGGTGTTAGCACAAGGCAGGAGACAGAATACGTCTCATTTCGATACATGGGAGTACTGTATTTTGTAACCACGCAAAATACAAAGAATAAGGTCAGATTTATTTCATTACCATTAGTCAAACCATCACCAGCACAATCTGACTCTCTGTGCAGTTGCAGCATTAGGATGAAAACAAGCAAATGCCAAAGGTCAAAACCCCTTTTTTTGTGTTTCCTTCCATCTCCTCTCTTTGCCCGCAGACGTTACCACAGGGACACCAGCAATATCAACAACAACAACCGTGGAAATCCGGAAGAGCAGTGTTATGACAACTGAGATCACCTCTAAAGTGGAGAAAGTCCCCACAACAGCCACTAGCAGCACCACATGCCCTTCTGTGGAGACTGAGGAAGAAAAAGCAAAAAGACTGCTGTACTGTTCACTATGCAAAGTCGCTGTCAACTCTGCCTCGCAGCTGGAGGCGCACAACAGTGGTGAGATGGAGCAGTGCTTGCTTTTCTCCATTTTTTCCTTCTCTCTCAAGAGCTGTGAAATTATCTTCCCCTGAATAGATTAGATCTCTTGCAGCAGGGGACAAAGAGGTGGCAGAAAACTGGCAATTACAAGGAATTCATTAACTATTAAAGAATAAAAATGACAGACTAAGAGTCTTTCATAAAGCAGGAAGAAAGGGATTTTGTTGCATGCAAGTTACCCATTTTCTTACATTTTAGCTTTTGCCACTTCCAAACCTTATAGAGCTAAATGACAGCTCATGCTTCATTACCTTTGGTGTTCAGAGTTTGCATAGTTTTGTTTGTGCCAGCTAGCAAACTGAGTATGAATGCTATTAGTTTTGTTTGAAATCTAACAAATTAAGGCTGAAAGAGGGAGTGTCAGCTGGAGTCCAGTAACGAGAGTTAGAATTCTTCTTCATATTGTCTGTTAATAACCTGTTAAAATTATGTATATTTTCCCTTTGTTTTCATCAACTGATAGCAACTGCTGTATGAGAGTTTTTTACTTTCCAAACATTTTCATGTTGTTAGAGCTAGTAGCTTCAATAATTGCCAGTAGTAGCGAGCCATCATTCACAGTCACTGTTTTAAGCATCTCATTCATTGGCTGTGTGGTGAGCAGAGTTAAAAGATCTTGGGATTTAATATGGTGGCAATGACCACCTATAACCATCCTGCAGAAAATCTCCTGATTTTGGATGTCAGGGGTTACCTGCCAGCAGGTTAAATAGATTTAAGAGACAAACAGAGAGCCTAAGGTTTGAAACATAAGAGACAGCGATCATATACCTGCAGCAAAATGATCAGTGGTTTCATGATGTAATAAAATAGGAATTAACTTTGGCATATCTGAAGAATCCACTTAAATTAAAAAGGAAATGCTAATTTGTTGCTATTCATGAGAAACAAAGCCTAGTCAGTTTAGAATGCTGTATTTGATGTATGCCAGGTTTTCAACTGGTGAAAATTCAACTTTATAAAGTTATTTAACTTCACATAAGGGTTACACTCAACATTTTTCTGATCAAGATGAGTCAAAATCTTGTTCTGTGTGGAAGTCAACAGTATAAGAGATTGTTCACTCTGAATAAAGGTAACACTACAGGATACTTGTTTTCTATCCAGTCTTTATTTCAATAAAAAATTCAGGTGCAGTTTTCTCACATACACGTTTCTCACACATTTCGGTTTCCATCCAGGCCATTGAAGATCCATAGGTTGCTGCCAGAAACCTCTGCCCCTTTTTGATTTGAAGACTAATTAATTAAATACAGATTTAAGTGTAAGATACATAAGACATACTGTTTATCAATCCATTCAGGAGGACAACAAATCAAATCCAACTACATCTTTAATAGCTAAATTACTCTTCTTTTGCAGCTACAGTTCAGGTTTTATTAGCAGTAGGAGTTAATGAGAAAAGTCACGCCCATTTAACTTCACATCAGGATACCTGATTGTGCCACTACTTACTGGTCTGGCTGCTTTGTTCTAGTGCATTACCTACAGTTATGTAATTTGATAATGAAATATCAGATCTTAAATATTGTTACATTGGTATGAATCAGATGCAGACAAACACAGGCATATTCCAAGAACAGCATGTGGTACCAAGCTGAGGCTCATATGATTTTCTTTTAAAAAGAAAATAAAACAATGAATGCAACCAAATTGCCAAAGTTGTTTCTGTTTCCCATTTCTAATGTCTCCAGGGACTAAGCACAAAACTATGCTGGAAGCTCGGAATGGAAGTGGAACCATAAAAGCCTTTCCCCGGGCAGGCGTAAAAGGCAAAGGACCTGTGAATAAAGGAAACACAGGCCTTCAGAACAAAACATTTCACTGTGAAATATGTGATGTGCACGTAAACTCTGAGACACAACTGAAACAGGTACTCAGCTAGATGCAGAGTGTGAATCCTTGGCTGTTCTTTGTTTTCATGATGATAAAGTACCAACACAGTCAGCATGTGTCAGTCTAACAGTTTACATCCAAATGGAGCTTACAGATTTTGCCCTTTGTATTTGGCTGTCATGCTGTATGTTTTGGTTTGGATATGATTTTCCCTTACACAGAATATGTTTTCTCAAAATCTCTTGATTACTTGATGATCTCAAAAGGTCTTTTCCAACCTAGTTGGTTTCATGATTCTATGATTCTACATATATTTCTGTAAAGAGTTATAGAAGCTCTAAGCTGCAACATGTCACAACTGTCTTTAGACTAGTGTAATTGTCATGAGCTAATAAACCCTGCCATTTAGTGTACTGCATGATATTGGACTTGAAAAAGATGTGGAGGTGGGTGCAGGCAGCACTTTCACAGAGCACTGCATAACCTGCTTAGAAACGCAGGCTGGAGAGGATTTGTACTATTTTTTTATCAGTGTTACTCTAACTGAGAAGCATGACCTCTAAATTGCAATTACACTAAATTATGTTCAGTCATTCTTCAGATGAACAAAGCCTTTGTTCTGAAAAACACTTAATTTAATTCCATATGCCTTTTGGAATTAAACTTGGGGAACTTTACAAGAATGAAGATAAATTCACTAATGGACCACAGCAATACTTGTCTTCTGCTTTCAGGGAAAAAAAAAAAAAGCCCAGTTCTTTTGTCTTTTTTTTTTTTTTTTGGTGAGAACTCCTGAGAATGGAAATCAAAGAATATAGTACTGAAAAAGGTCCTTTACATCTAATACTGCAATAAAGTCTGTGTAGCAGGATTTCTGTAAAATCTCATAGATTTCATGAAGAAGATAGTGGATTTTGTGGTTTTTTTTTTCACTGACAGTTTGGTATGTAACCATCTTTCAGCTGAAATCTTGGGTTTCTTAGGGATTTAAACAATTTTGTGACCTTTCCCCCTGCCCCACTTCCAATAGAGGATACTCTATTATCTAATATTCCTCTAAAATTTCTGTCAGCAGTGGATTGAATTTGATGGATACTTTATAAATGGGGAGGAATTTTTCAAAAGCTTCTATCTTTGACCTGATTCAGGTCCTGTTGAAGTTAGCAAAGGTGATAAAATAATTGACTACAGGGGAAGCAGAGCTGAACTGAGCACTGTTAAAAATCAGAGTTCCAGTATGTGATACACAAAGGATCGTTAAAACTGGAATAAACCCTGTTTCCATTTGTTATTGAATTAGTCAAAGTAATGCTGCTGTAGAGAGCAGTAGCCTTCAGTGTTGGAACACCCTTATGAAAAGCAAAATCTGAAATGATCTATTAAACAACTATCACTCTTCCCCCCTCCCAAATGTATTTTAACAGCACATAAGCAGTAGAAGGCACAAAGACAGAGCTGCTGGGAAGCCACCTAAGCCTAAATACAGCCCTTACAACAAACTCCAGAAGGGAACACATCCTCTAGGGGTAAGTCAAACACTTTTATGGTCGTTTGGGTTTGGTGGGGGTTTATTTTATTTCTTTTTATTTCATTTTATTTTGTTTTATTTTACTTTTGTTTTCACCAGGCTAAGTAGGGGTTTTAGAAAATCTAGGTGGAAAAATGATTAAAATGAGAGGAATAGTGTCAGCAATGGGAGTATACAAGTGTATGAGCCCATGGAAGCCCACAGGGGACTTTTTCTATACTCTAATGGGTGTTGACTACAACCTGTGGGTCCTCAGTTTTGTAGCTAGAACTGAATAACCCCAGGAAAGAAGCTTGTTTCAAAGGTAATTAAAGAGCAAGAGATGAAAGAAGCACCCAGATGTCAAACAGGATTTTTCCAGTTTTCACAAAGGACAATAGTGATGAAATGGCTAAATAATACTCTATAAAACATGAAACCTTTATTCTATTTAGAAAAATTACTCAGATAACAACTAAAATAATTGAAAAAATTCATCTCTCATTTCATTTCACTGAGTTTCAGGGTAGTTTTGGTCACATTTTTGACTGCCAGGATAAACTCTCTGTAACACAGTTTTTACTAGTTTCAATAGCTGAGAAAAATGTTTACTTTTTAATAAAAAACCCTCTAGGATTCTGCCATCAGTTAAGAAACAGCTTATATTGTGGGTGGATTAGTGAAACATCTGACATTTATCTCCATCAGATAAACTGCATGATTGTTTTATGTGCTCTGGTGTTTCATAAGGGTTTATAGATGGTTTTGGCAGAGGGAGGATGTTGAATCCTTGGCCTCATAGAGATTAGCTCTTTATGCTGTGACCATCTTCTTTAATGCTGTTAGAATATGGAGCTTTGTTTCTGTGAAAACCCAGTTCTCTTTAAGTTAAAGCTCTTTTCTTGACAACAGAAGTCTATCTTTGTTGGGACCACCCTCATGAGTATATATATATTCATGCATGATTCAGTTGGGTAGGAGCTTTCCTAAGTGTTGTAGTGTAATGCAGTGCCTCATTCTGGTAGATCCACTGGTAGGAATATAGGCCCATAGGATTTTCCAGTAATCCACCAAGAAGACCAAGGTCTCCAGTACATATAAGCTATGCTGAAAGGAATAGAAAATATGTATGAGGTAAGTAGGAGAAGAAATCACTAAAGCCTCTCTGACAGGATTATTATTCCTTTAGGAAATCCACTGTTTCCTAGGGGATGAAAATAACTGTTACATTACTGTTGCTGTTGTGCAGAGTTCTCTATTTACAAATTTTTTTGTAATGGTGGTTTTTGAGAACTTCAGCCAGGATCATTTAGTTGCCACATAGACAAATAAAGGCAAGGTATCCTTTTCCTACTTCCTCACTCCCAATTGCTCACAATATACAGGCTAGAGGCAAGCAAAGAGACCAAGGGGACTTCAGAAGGAGAGAATGAGTCAGTAATAAATGAACAGTTCTGGGTAGTAGAATGGAGACCACACTTAGAAAAGATGACAGCAGTTATCTGTTTAGTCTTTTTGGTTTTGGATAGAAAAAATACCAAAATTGCTGTCATTTAAATGCAGAATGGCACAGCAGCAAGCCGAAGATGTGCTAATTTAACTTTGAATGTAAATGTTTTTTATGAGCTCTAGATTTTTCTTTGCTCCCCATTAATTTTTCAAGTTATTTACTGTCCCTGATTTTGCTTCATTGAAAATGAAACAGATAGTGGCTACTTTACTTTTGATGTTGACTTTCCTGTTAGTAACTAATACTTGCAGGGTATTGTATATGCTAAAGATTACTAGTTTTGCAGCTATCGTGAAATCAGAGCCGTGTTGATAAATTAACTACAGAGCTATCTAACTTCATTAGAATTTTTTGATTCCTCCAAGAATGGGAAAATAGCCCTAGCCTTTTAATATAAACATAAGTCACATAAAATCTTTGTTCTTCATGACAAAAAAAATGTGTGAACATCACCAAATTTATTTCCAGAGAAGTTAGGAAAAGGATGTACTAGATTTTCATAGCTGTTCTAGACCAAAACCTTTCCATTGCCATGTTTTCAGTATCATCTGTACTGCTTTGCCTGGTCTGGTTTTGCATGCTTCAGACAAAACTTTATGAATTCCTATAAAATTTAAGAAATTCCCAAGAGTTTAAGAAATCTTGTAATATTGGGACTTACTTGATATGTCTTCAAGACACAAATGTCCAGCATATATAAAACACTACACTGGAGAGAAAAAGTTTATCAGACATTTGATAGTCTAAACTTTCTGCAATAAAATAACTCTTAGGGAAAACATCCTTCACTGGAAATTCTAGACCTCAGTCGGAGTCCTGTTGTTTTGGGCTGGGGTTTTCTGTACTTTGTACACAGGATTTTTAGGGTTTTTTTCTGTGTGTTCTAAACAGTATTTACTAAAAACTGTAAGGAAGGAGGAAAAAGTCACATGCTCAGCAGGGAAGAATACAGCTTGGATCAGTGGGTGTCACACTGATCAAGAAAAATATCAGATCATTGCTTTTCATAGGCACCATGAGGAATTCTGTATCTAACTGCATTATATCCTCCTTTAAGAGAATAACAGAATCTGGTCCCCTATGAGTATCTCTCTCAGAGCTTTAAAAAGACCTTGAGGCCAGCAGAGTTGCCAGTGGGTATTAGGAAAAGTAAAAATCTTGAATCCATCTGACTGGTAAAGAACCACAGGCTTTTTAGAATATGGCAATAGTGTAATGATGAAACTCGCTGGTGATTCATGTCAGAGTAGTCCTGGCCTTACTTTATGGAACTGGCGAGTTGAAAATATCAGATTGATAGAGTTCAAGCTAATTATTTGAAAGTCCCTTTCAATTCAAGGATGAGAAATTGTTTCCCTGTGAGTGAGAAGTGTCCATACTTACAGTGATATGTACCGTGGTATGGTATATATATTCATATTCTCTACATGCAATACGACATATTCAGGTTTATGTTCTTTGCAAAGGCCTCAGGTCATGCAAGGACACAGACCCACTAAAAGTCCATCACAGCCAATGGGAACTTTTCCTTGCCAGTGGATGAGGTTTCTATTCTTATCTCAGAATTACAAAATCAGAACAACAAAGGTATTCAGGCTCCTGGCATCTCATTAGAAACTTGAAGTCCCCCTGAAATCTGCAGAAATCTATATAGACTACTCTGATGTTCATTTGTATGCATACCAAATGTAAATTCTCTTAAATAATAATGGACCTCTGTGAATATATTCAATCAGTCTGGGAAAAGCATCAGGAGTTGTTGGGGTTTTTTCTGTCTTTTTGGGAACTAAATGAGTTGTATTTGGTAATAAGACTCATGATTTACATGCTTTTAAAGGGGAAGCCTCAGTGACAGTAATAAAAATACCATGTTTTGGCATGTGATGTAGGGAAAATTCATGACAACATTTTAAAATATCTGCGACTTTTTCACAGTCCTTGTAAGAGTGAACAGTATCTTAACCATAAAATTTTGAAGATGCAGCTAGATGACATAGGGCAGCACCCATAGAATTCAGCACCTGCTTGAACCTGTGAAACATAGAAGATTTTCATAACTGGCACAAGACAAACTTTGGTTTTTTATTTGCTTGTTCTCAGAAACAGGAGCTAATAAATAAGAGCTAGCTGGAGATGTTAATTTTGAGTAGAACTTGCATCGTAATGGTAAAAACAAAGTCAGACCTTTTTCATTCTGCTCTGTTCTCTGTCGTAAAGCTGTCCAGATGGGAGTCTTTTAATTGATGGGTAATTCTTCTTTATTTAATTTTTGTATGGTACATGCAGCATTCCTTTGGTGCAGATTGCCCAGCCCCTAATTTATTTCGTGGGATGTGTCCCTTCCCATGGCAGGGGGGTTGGAACTAGATGATCTTAAGGTCCTTTCCAACTCTAACTATTCTATGATTCTATGATTCTGTTTAGGTTTTCTTTGTTTTCTAATCTCATGTTAAATTGCAAGTCTCAGCAATAAGGTGTGAACATTGAAACTGTCTGTCCCCAACCAAATCCTGCTCACCCTTGTCCAATCTGTAAGATCGTATCTCCTGTCACAAGCCTGCAGCTCACAGAGTCAGTAGCCACTATGAGGCCTCTCTTGCCTGATTTTGCACTTACCGTCTTAAGTCAAGATCCCTGTGGTGTTCCTGATATGAACAAATTATGTCTCTCTGTTTGTTTGTTTTCTCTCTTCCCCACAGGTAAAATTAGTATTTTCAAAGGAACCTTCAAAGCCAATGGCTCCACGGATCCTACCAAACCCGCTAGCAGCTGCAGCAGCAGCTGCTGCTGTGGCTGTGAATTCCCCCTTCAGTCTTCGCACAGCCCCAGCAGCCACCCTTTTCCAGACTTCAGCACTTCCTCCAGCACTCCTACGACCAGCTCCGGGGCCTATACGGACCACTCATACTCCTGTGCTGTTTGCTCCTTACTGAACTCCAAACAGGAATTAATTGTACTGCAATAATTTTTCAAAACAAACAAACAAAACAAAAAGAAAATCAAGAACATTGAACTATGCAGTGTTTATTTATAGTTTAAAGTATATATGAAGAGCCAGGACTTTTGATAGAGAACTGAACAAATTCTAAAAGGGGGAATGGGCAGTATTTTCTCCAGATGAGAACATTCCTCTTGAGTATTGATCGTTTTAGAACTGATCTCCAGCATTGACTTGTAGTGACATATAAAACTTATGAAGCCTTTGACTGTGCTTTTTGGCACATATTTCCCTGCAATGTCTTTCCTGCTTTATGAAACAACTTACAAATTTGTCTAAAGGGCATTAACTGGTTCCAATGTACATAAAATACTTTATTCTGTAGATTAAAGAAGGAAAAAAAAAAAGAAACACTGTGAATAGTAGTACCCTTACCAATCCTCCTGCCAAATCAGCAGTTAATGGGTATTTATCTGAACAAAAGTAGATATAATAGATGTCTTGTAAAACAGTAGCATTGTGTCTCTATCTATGCCACTAGGTTTCTAACTGAGTTGCAAAAGACAAAATGAAAAAATTATGTCACTTTGGTAAGTAGTCAAAAATGATGACAATAATGTGGAGCTGTACCTGGTGAGCAGAAATCGCTTTCCTCACCCAGAGAAGAATGGGCATGAAGATAATCTATGATTAGGTCAAAGTAAATGGTAAAGAAGATTTAGTGAGAGGAAAAAAAAAATATCCAGATGCTGTACACAGAATAGGTCAAAATTCTATTTAACTGAGAACGTATGTGTACAGTGTGTACTGTGTGTGTATATTCAAACGTGTAATACATACAGGATAGATCAATGTTGAAGGCATTCCAGTGGACAGCTAAAACTACACTCTTGTCCTGAAACAGGCCTGATACCTTAGTGTTGAGCAGACAGAAGACACAAATGGGTTGCACAAAGTCATAACTAGCAAATGAAAAGCAGGAGAGAAATCCTGGCCTCATTTAAGTCAGTATAAAGTTCCTTCTGACTGCAGTGTAGCCAGAATTTCCTTCCAAGAATGGCACATATTCCTTTTATATCACACCAGTGGGAGTGTCTATAGATCCAGGTAACGTTTTTTGCAACAGGCTTAGTCATAGAAGCAGTTTTATTCTCTTGTTTTATTTCCTACTGATGTGATATAAAATGTCTTAATATACCTATAAAATGTAAACAGCAGCACGTGAGATACATATTACAAGATAACTGCACATTGTGGGTTTGGAACAAATACAAACTTTAGGATCTGAAGGGACCCTTGAATTCTGTAGCTGACCTTTATATAAGGACAGCTTAAAGCCTTATACATTTACTGTGAGGCTTAAAGGGGTTGACTGTGTCCCTTTAAATTGAGATTTATCAGGGGTATATATAGATATATTGTATATATGTTAGAGTAAGAAAAATAACTTATAAACAGAAAATCTACTATATAAAATAATTATATAACCATTGAGTTTCACATGTGGGTCATTAAGTGGTAAGCAACAAACAGCAGAGAAAAAATAGACTTCTTGAATCTGATTCTTGCTGCCTGCTTTTTCCCATAGGGAGCTGAAAAGTATCTATTAATATTATGGAGCGCGCTGCTGAGTGGCATGCGACCACTCTGATGTGTAGCTATGTGAAATACCTACCATACATTTAGGAGGAATAAAATTTAAAAGCATAATTTAAGTTTAGATGTGGAAATTATTTGAAAGATTTTATTAAAAGGTAGTAATGCAAAATATTGACCATGTGGTTGCTATAAGATGCTGCCTGTGGTTAATGTGGACAGTTGGGAGATACAGAGGATGGGAATATACAGCACTTTTGACTTGCAGTTCATCAGTGAGCCTTCCATATACATTGATATTTGCCATTTTTTAAACCTCTCTGCATTTAGATTTTATAAAAAAAATATATGAAAAAAGAGAGAAAGAAGAGGTTCCATGGATGTCTGTGTCCAAAGAATTCCAAAGAGTTGCATTTATTTATCTACAAGTGTTAAAATAAGTTCTATATTACGTATTTGTATTTCATCCAGTTTATTTGCAAACGTTTGTGCCTTGAAATGAAATGGGCTTTTGTTTATATTTAATTCGCTCCTATGTAGCCATGAAGAAGATGTGATGGTGATTTCAGGGCTAATTACTACCTGGATTGCTTTGGCCCAATTTCCAAAACACGAAGAGTATGAGTAAGTTCCTGAAGCCAAGTTTAGGCACCTAAATAACTAGGGGCTGACATTTAAAAGGGCTTCCTAACTCTACAGCTCCCAGTAAAGAGGCAGTAAACAAACCAGCCTTCAAAACCTGCACCTAGCACTCAATTAAGAAAATGCCTCATTTTATTTGGGTACGTAAATGTAATGTAGTAATGTTCAACTCCTCTTTGCAAAATCTTGGCCTTGGTCTTTTGAGCCTGCTTTCAATCTTCCATCTTTTTGCAGAAGTTGTAGTGCCGTTGCCAGCTGTGTTCATATCCCTCCTTGAACAGAGCACCACTTTTCAAGCTGTGCTCCATGAGCCACTGTTTATCTACAGGCCTTTTGTAATAGGCTGTGTAAGTAAGAGCTCGCTAAACAGAGGAGGACCAGCATTTTGGGAAGGCAGAAGATCTGGGCAGGTGATCTTTTCCCCATGAAAAAAATACACAGATGGGAAAAGGGGAGACCCACAAATATCCTATAGACTCTTATGCATGGCCTTCCGGTGCATGGACACCTGATGTACATCCTGCCATGTTGTTAAAATGCCGTCAAAATCAGCAGGCTGTTCCTTGCCAAAATGTGGCCTGTGGCATGTATGGAGGCACAGTACCAAGGTCAGCGTTAAGACAAGTTTTCCTAGAAATAAAGAGCATCATTCCAACTACTTACATCAGCTAATTTGCAATGACACGTTCTGCTTACTTGGACCTCTTTTGTCACAGTGCTCTATGGAACAAGTTTTTGTTCACACAAGTCTCTTAAATTTCAGCTGTAAACAACAAAGTTAATTCTTTTTATGTCTCTTACTCACTACCTAATAAAGGATAAAGCCTAAATGTTAGAATGCATAGTGGATTTTCTGTGCCTTGCTGTTTCACCCTGCTCTTGGTCAGTAACAAGTCAACATACCTGGGATGTCAGCAGAACTGTTTTAGTATATATATATATATGTCAAGGAAAATATTGGTACAGCAATCTGATTGGGCAAGGGGAGCTTCCCACAAAGGGTATGTCCACAGCATACAAAGGAGCTGACAAAGGAGCTATCAAACAGAAGACGCTTTACATCTACTTGTCAGTACATCCTATATAGAGAGCATTATAAAAATGTGTCATCATATTGCATACTACAGTAATACTCCAGGGCCAGAAGGAAGCCTAAAGCACAAGGAAACAGATCATTTTGTTGAAGACACAGTCACTCACTGGAATAACAGTGTGAAATCAGCCTGCAGGGAAATGGCTGGGTATGAACTAAGAAAAACAAATAGGTTCAGGGATGTTTTCTTCAATTCTATACAAAGTGTTAAAGAATGACTATGCTGTTCTGACCCAAAGAGATGGTATTTTTGTGGGAGGGATATATATATAATATTTTTATGCTATCTGCATTTTTCCAACTATCTCTGGCTTCAAACCTTTGTTCTAAAGGATCATCGTTGCTCTGAACCATGAAATTAGTTACATTCTTGAAAGCTGCTGTAAAGGCTGATGTGAGAGGTCAGTAAGCAAATGGTCTAAATATGATGATCTGAAAAATAATAAAAATGAACTGGCCATGTCAAGGAATATTTTGTTTGAAAAGTATACATCTTTATTTTAAGATAAAATTATACAAAATTAAGAATAGCTAAATAAAGTTAATATAACTAGAAGAATTACATCTGTCATTTTATATACTGGAATATTACAATTGGCTTTGTATTTTAAAAGATGAAAAGACTTTTTAGATGCTGAATCAATGCAAGGATGCTACGAGTAAATTTAATGTCTCACAGTCATTGTCTTCCAGTTATACCAGAAATACCATAACTGCATGGACCTGCCCTTAGTCACTTAGATACAGTAGAGTATTGGCCTGATATTTCCTGAAAGCTGAAATAATGCTTCTTAGGAGCCCTTGCTTCTGCCTTCTGCTCCCAGTAAAGACATAGTTTTTAGGGTATTCTCAAAGCATCTTGGGAAATTTTACTTTAATACCTCTCTTTTTTTGCAAAAATAAATGTCATTTTGTGAACGTAAGACCAACACTGAACAGGTTTCTTCACAATTACAACATTCTTGTGGCTAAATATAAAGCAAAAATAGCCAGATTATTTTGCTGCACAAATTGCTCTGGAAACAGGTGGAGTCAGAAGCCTAAACCACTTTATAAGGTGTATGTTCTTTTTATTAACATAGGTGTCTGAATCTCCATTTTTAAAACTGACTTCAGCATAGCTCAGGCTTGAGGGTTCTGAGCACCTTAAGCTCACAAGAAAATTACTTTGAGTTTCTTATTTACGTAGATGTATGTGAAAATGTGAGGCTGTGCTATGTAAAACATTACAGATTTTTTTTTACATCTTCCCCTGTTCTCATTGTTTATCTGTGAGTGCCATTACTTCAGTGCTTGTGAATCATACAGAAGCTTCTGTGCTGAGATTCAGTAAGTGACTGAAAGAAATAGTAACACTGATAAATTTTATCTTAAAGTAGTTGAAATCTCAAACACACAATTAAAGGGTTTAGCCAAGAACAAGAGCTTTATGGCCTCTCACACCTACAGGTTTATTAAAATTCAAGACCATTTAGGACTAAATGTACCTGTCTGAAGGAGGGTTATTACAGAGCCTGACCTGAAATGTCAGGAGCTGAAAGAGGCTGCACTCCAGACCGAAATTAAGAATACTCTGAAACCATAATGGTTTTAAACCTGGGACTCCTGAAAGCAGTTGCAAAGATCTTTGACTTCAGTAGAAGCAATTTTTTTCCCTGAGTGCCTGAGGCCGTGTGCAGTCATGCTGTGTACTGCAATTAGGTGTCATTCAACTCTGATTCTGTAGTGAT